GTGGCCTCCTCGCCCTCTCCTCCTTGGTTTTCCTGGCACGGCTCTCTCCACGTGTGACTGCTCTTTTCTCAGCTCCCCTTTACTCAGTCTTCAGGCCTGCTGCGGTGACTCCCACGCTGTCCGGGGCCCTCTTCTCTTCCGCCAGACCATCGTGCTTGTTGACTGCACCGTTTCTCTGTAGACGGTTCTCACGCCCACTTGTCTGGCCCTGCTTTCTTTCTCAGCCTCCAGTCTGTCATCTCTCCAGCTCCTTGTTTGACATTGCAAGCGGGCTGTTCCAGTCATTTTAAAATCAGTGTGTCCGGAATGGAACTCCTCTTTTCCCTGCACATCCCGCTCGTCTTACACTTTCCCATCACTGTTGAAGTCACCGCTATTCTCCGAGTCCTCCAGGCTCACGGTTTCCGTGGCATCCTCAACTTCTCACGCTCCGTCGCCCCACGTATCCAAACATGTCTTGTTTGTATCCCCACAACATTTCCTGTCTTCTTTGTTATGTTCTCACTGCAGCCACCCTCATGTAGGGCCCCTCTTGCCTCGTGCCTGGACTCTGCCTCAGTTTCTCCAGCTTCAGTCCATCCTCTACTTGCAGTTATCTTTCTCAAGTGCAGCTCTGACCATGTCCCACCCCTGCTTGATCCTGGTGGTTCCTTTTATCTCCAGGATTGAACGTAAAGGGCTGTGTTTAGCCTTTAAAGGTCTTCCTATCTGTCTGCTTGTCTTACACGGGAGCCTCCTCCCTGTATCCTGCCATCCACCAGTGGGGGCCTTCTTGCTGTTCTCATGCTCTGTACCTTTTCCGTGGCTGTGCCCCCATTCCTAGCATGTGATTCTTCCTCATTTCTACCTCCCAGTCTCCCCCGTTCACCTTATGTCCTGCCTTCTGCAAGAGGTTGTGCTGGCCCCTCTCACTGCCAGTGCCTTTCCTCTGACATTGCCTCCCATCGATACTGTTTGTACATCGTCTCCCCCGTTAGAATGTTAGCTCCTTGAGGACAAGGGGCTGTGTGTTTTGTCTTTCTCTAGCACTTAGACCCATGCCTGGCACGTAGTAGGTGCTCTTTAAATACTTGCTGCTGCTGCTGCTGGTAGTGAGGATAATTCTGGTTGTGGAGAAGAAACAGTCCTGTTTCATGGTGTGACATTAGTGGTGGATGATGCATACTCTTGGAATTGAGATGATTGAGGTAACTCTAAGTTGGAGTGGTGGGGGCTTTATGAAGAAAGTGGGGTTTGGGCTGGCCTTTGAAAAATGCTGATGGGGAGAGGAAATCGTTGTGGGTAGACATTCACTTAAGATTGTACAGAGTTTATCTTGTCGGTGTTAGTAGCCTGTAAAGGCAAGGGAGGAATAAGGCCTTGCCACGTAAGTATGCAGAAGCTTGTTGCCAGTACACTCACTGTGTGTTGTGGACTTCTTTGACCAGTGGCCTTTGCTCCTGGGTGGACCCTGGTGCCTGTTTGTCCTTCATTTTTGAAAAAGACCAGAGACGTCACAGGGTGATGTCTTGCGCATGAATTCGATTGAAGTGAGGCACAGTCGCACAAAGCGGTCAACCTCACTTTCCCAGAGTCGTCGGAGTCCAGTGGGAAGACAGAAGTCAGGGTGACTGTCAGTGGCCTGGGATGCAGTGCTTGACCTTGGAGTCTTTTAACGTTTGACCAAGCTCTAAGCGCTCCGCAGCGTCTGCTTCGGCCGCCTCTGTGGCCGTTGGAAACGGTTGTTCTCATCTGCCACTTCTGCCCAAGGGAATCTTCACGTGCTTGCGGTAGAGGCCCGTCGATCACCCCTGTCCTGGTTTGGCCTGTCTGCCGAGATGGTTTACTGGGCCGTGGCTGCGGTGCGTGCTGCAGCTTCTTGGAGCCGTCGGTGGACGAGCAGCCGTGAGAAGGGCTCAGCAGCACGCGTGCCGGAGGTGCCGGTCTCCCGGAACACCCCATACCTCCAGTGGTGTACGCCAAGGGGCTGCTCAGAGTCACGGTGCCGCTGCTCTCGGTGGTGTCTCGGGACCGGTGACGGAGCGGCCTGGGTCCCGTTTGTTTGGACGTTTTTGCTCTGAGGGAAATCCGAAGTTAAAGACAAGTTGCAGCGAAGTGGAAGGATTGCTGTGGTTCTCCTTGGACAGAAGAATAAAGCGGTCAGGAGAGCCGATGTTGACCTTCCGAAGGTCACGGGAAACATCATGTCGTGAGTTCTTTTGGTCATCTCCTGATAATGCGTGTTTGGGAGAAAGAAGAAAAACCATCGTGATAACACAGGCAGCTTCTCCATCAGCCAGCCCGTAGCAGAGAAAGTCCATGAAGCAGTTGGTAACGTCCTCTGAAGCTCGTCCACGTGGACTTTATCCTCAGAGTCTTCGGTAGGAAGGTGTAGATGGTAGGAAATGCATAGGAAAGCATGGATCAGGAAGACGGAAGGAGCAGCCGAGGAAGGCCTCGAAGCCTCACGCCTCTGCACTGCTGAGAAAAGCTCATCGGTGGGTCCAGGATATTGTGAATGGGAGCCCATTAGTATCAAAAGGAAATGGATTGTACTCAAACAGAAAGAAAACCAGTGAATTGATGTGGGAGGCAGTTCTGATGTCAGGTACTGACTCAGTAGAGCAGAGATGGAAATGAGTGCAAAAGTAGAGTACAATGAAAAAAAGAGAGGACATGCTGTCGAAACAGCTCAGTCCCAACCCATCGAACGAGTTGTTGAGAAAAGGACATAGACTCGGGTGGTAATAAGTTCATTCAGAAGTCTAAATAGTACGCATCAGCTACCATCACAAAGAAGAAAGCTTCGTCAGAGCGTTGCGGGCTTACTTGCCAAGCGCAGAAAGATGGCAGGCAAAGGTCTGAGTATAACCTTGTTTGGAGTCTTACAGAGCAGAGTAGGGGCGATGATGGGCAGCGTTGCCCCACAACAGAGAGATGCATTGGTGGTTGTCGGAAGAAAGTGTGGTGAGAGAAACGACTAAGCAGGGTCACCCAGGTGGCATGTAAGCACAAAAATGGATGGTGAAGAAAAAAACAGAAGAAAAATGGAAGAGAAGTGCAGAGATATTTGTAACTAACAATTTTCATTATAGGGTAGTACAGTGGTCACCCCGGTGCTCACACCGTCCCCTGGGTGCTAAGGGAAACCAGAAGGGGAGTGGGGCAGCCTCTGGCCAGGACCGGTTTTTCATCCTGGGGAGCTGTGCTGGGGGAGAAGGAAGAGGGCTTACGGCCACCAGCCAGGATCACGCGTTCCCTTTTGGAAGGATAGCTAGTGTGCTCGAAATGGCTCTAAGGAAGAATGAACGCTGAGCGGCCACCGCTGACGACCCAGACTGGATGTCCACCCTGGAAGGGGTGGTGCGCTGGTAGTGGCGCTAAAGGAGAACGAAGAGTAGGCAGCCTCCGCCAGGACCGCGTGCCATCCTAGACATCTGCCCTCGAGAACAATTGTAGATCTTATCACTACTGAAAAGGGCAGTTGAGGTAGCGACGCTGCTGCCCCATGTGCCTTCTCTCCTGTGTGGCTTGGTCAAATTGTGTCCACCACGTGTTGGGCAGAGTCTTCGGGAATAGCGGACCACACCTTTCCGCCGCCTCCCAGAGTCCGCTGAAGTAGAAGGACTGCAAAGCGAATGCCTCTGAGTGATTGCTGGGCATGCAGAAGCATTTCATTCGGTGGAGTAGAGTGCCGCCAAAGGCTCTCCTCCTACTTGCTTTCATCCATTTCTGCATCAGAATTATTCAGGATTCCTTGAAAGAGGAAGTCACAAAAAGTCTTCAAAAAGCCGGAGGTGCCGTGCATCGATCCCTACCCGTAAGGGCCAGGCGGCATCCTCCCCAGGGGCCTGGTAGAGGCGACGGCCGAGTCCCCGCAGGAGAGCCCCAGCCGCTCACGGGGCTCGGTCCTGTTCTTCACGCAGGGAAAATAAGGGAGGAAGGGATAGGCCTTGCTCAGTGTCTGGAATTCTTCCCTCTTTTGATTTAGTCTTTGTCCTCACTGCATCGGTAGCTTGTTTGTGCCTAGGCTGTGAGCTTTTCGAGGGTGGGGAGGGCTGGTTTGTTGGCTGACTGTCTTGTGGAGCTGCTCCCTTCATTTTGCTGGCATCCCCATTCGCCCATCAGACGGCTGGAATGCCCTCTTAACGGATCTCTCCACCCTGGCTCCTCCCTTTCGTCAAGCTTCCCTTCCCCGGTTGGGGCTGCACCGTCAGGGTGCTGCTCCTACAGTTAGGGGTGATTTGGTGCCTCTGGCCCTTGAGGCGTGCCGGCTGGTCTCCGGCTCTCCTGGCAGAGGTGCAGGGGCCACCCCTGGGCCTGGAATGGAGGCCACCTCCTTTGTGGAGCTTGCGAAGCCCAGGAAGGGCAGTCTCTGGAGAAGTTTGTCGTTGGAATAAAAGACTGGTTTCCAGTTCCCCTTTGGGAGCCTCGGGTAGACAAAGCCAGGGCGTTGGCGGAGATGATGCGCTCTCTCGAGTCGGTGGCCGTCACCTAGAGTGTGCTCACTGGGGTCGTCTGCTGGCTCCCGGAAGGGGGCTGGCGGCAGTGTGGGGGTACGGGGGCAGCTCGGGGAAAGCAGAGGGGGGCTGCAGAGTCAGGTGCTGGAGAAGAGTTGACGGAGACTCTTAGGCGGTGTGGTCGACCCACCAGGGGAGCCCGCAGGAAGAGCGCAGCCCCGGGGCCTCTGTGCTGGCTTCCTTTTTGGGTCCGGTATTAGTTTTTCCAGCTTCTTGGGGATCCTTAAATTCTGTGAAAATCAGAGAAGGGGTTTTTGTGTCTTCTTGCCTTCTGTCGCCATTGCTGCCAAGCCAGCACTCGCTGGGGTGCCGCGGGGGTGCCGAGGGCCTCCTGTGCCACTTAGTGCCTGGCCTGTGATCTGAAGCCCACCTTGTGGTCCACGCGATGGTGGCTGGCCAAGGGGGCCTTCAGGGATGTGGGGGTGGGCTGGGGGTGGGGCAGCACTCGCCCGGCTGTCTGCTTCTCGTAACGCTTTGGTTTCTTTTCTGCTCCCCCTTTAGAAGTTGGCCAAAACAGCATGTGGATTTCGACTGATGCAGCGGCCTCCGCCCTGGAGCCTCTGAAAGTAGTGTGGGCCAAATGTAGCGGATACCCCTCCTACCCTGCCCTGGTAAGTGGGGGCCGGTGGGCCTCAGCTTCCCCCTCTGTAGAAAGGGTGTCGGGACCGTGTTCCGCCAGGGGCCCCTCAGACCCACAGCGACCTTCCTGCAGAGGCGGGCGCGGGTGGAGTCTGTTCGCGTCACGTGGCGGCGGTAGGGTCTCGCCCGAGCCTGGCTGCTTTTGCACAAGCCTGCGCTTTGGGTCGTTTTAAAATTAGTAAAGGCTGGAGATGGTTTGACCCTTTCCATAATCTCACAGAAAGGAACAGCTTGGTTGTGGTACTTAATAATGGGCGCGTTTAGAACAAAGGTGCATTTATCAAGTGCCTGCTCTGCGCCAGTCTCTCTCATAGGCATCGTGAAGGAGGAGACAACGTATAAACCAGAAGCGGGGTGTTCTTAAGAGGGGTGGACGCTAGGAGCGCGGGAGCTGGGAGGGGGAGGGCTGTGTGTGAGGACCGGCCAGCAGGCCAGGATGGCACACGGGAGTAAGGAGGAGCCGTGAGAAGCCAGGAGCAGTCGCGGGGCTCGGGTCACACGGGGCTTTCAGAGCCAAATGGGACTTGATCTCGGCTCCTGGCCAGAGGAAGGAGTCCCTGGAGCTGACCGAACAGAAGGTGGCCGAGTCTGAGGCGGGCCCACCTGCCGTCAGCTGCCCCGGGAGTGCGGGCGTGAGGTGAGGCAGGGCTGGTCGTGACGGCAGGCGACCGCGGCGGGCACGGGGGATGCAACCGCACAAGGAGTCCGGCTCCTGTTTAGTTCTTGGCGTCTTGGGTCACATTTCTTTCTCGCTTTCTCTCTTTCTCAAAGTCTTTGGATGCCTCTTGTTCTTCACCGCAGTCCCTCTGTGCCTGTCCCGGTGGAATCCTCCCTAGCCAGGCCCCAGAGTCAGCTCCAAGGAGGAGAGAGACACGCGGGAGGGCTCATCTTCTCCTGCTCTTCCTCCCTCCAGATAATTGACCCTCAGATGCCCCGTGTGGCCGGCCATCACAACGGCGTCACCATTCCGGCCCCGCCCCTGGACGTGCTCAAGGTCGGGGAGCAGATGCAGACCAAGGCGGACGAGAAGCTCTTCTTAGTGTTGTTCTTTGACAATAAGCGCAGCTGGTGAGTTTGCCCTTTGAAAGGCCCTGTGGACATGTAGATGCCAGGGCTGGCTCTGCCTGGTGCAGAAGGTGTCGGGGCCTGGGGGTGGCCGGAGAGCTCCCAGGACACTCGGCCTCTCCATCCAGACGGTCCTTTCTAAATATTCCGCTGGCCTGGAGAGAAGGCTTTCATTCCTCAGTGGAGGCGTTGATGAAGTGCCTTTTTGTAGCATTCTTTTAAAGAAATATTTGTTTTTGGGGGGGGTGGGGCATGGAGTGACACGTCACATGAGAAACCAAGGTTCAAGTTAAGTTCATCAGCATATAATTTGAAAGAACTTTAAGTTTCGTGAGTAATTGGAATGCAGACGCTGAGGACTTCCTGTGATGAGCTGAGGCCCTCTGTCCACTTGTTACGGAGTGGGCTGGAACGTGGAAATAGGCCAGTGATAGCCTCCCTCCAGTCAGGGCGAGTTCTCGATCCTCAGGATCGGGTCCCCGGTCCTGAATCCTCTTCCTCCTCCTTTTCTAAAGGCAGTGGCTTCCCAAATCCAAAATGGTCCCCCTCGGAATCGATGAGACAATAGACAAGTTGAAAATGATGGAGGGCCGGAACTCCAGCATCCGCAAAGCCGTGAGGATCGCCTTTGATCGTGCCACCAACCACCTGAGCCGCGTCCACGGCGATCCGGTCAGTGACTTCAGCGACATTGACTAGACGCCTAGCCCGGCACCGCCGCGACCCCGAGCAGGCCTCAGGGGGCTTCCAAAGGGACGTCCTGAAGATCTGGCTCCGTAATCATTGATGGGTGCAGTTGGCCGAGCGCGCTCTCCGCCGCGCGCGTGAGCACGCTCTGCTCGCCATTGCCCTGCTGATTATTGATTGTATCATTGGGCTGCTGCCGGGCGGAGCCTTCACACCCCTGCTCCGAGTGTCTTTGTCCATAGTGTCCCTAAGCCGCTGTACATAGGTGTATATTGTTCAGAACTTAACTTATTCTGGTTTTTCGTAGGAGTTCCTCATTCTTTCTTTGTCCCCAGCGGGGGGGTGGGGGTGGTTTTACTGCCATGTGTTCTCCCTGAAGCTGGGTCCCTGAGCACCACTTTGCGGCCCTGTCCACCCCGCGATCCCGGTGACGTCGCAGGCGTCCGTCAGCTTCAGTCCTCCGGCCTACAGTATGGTGCTGATTCTCTTACTTTCTGGCTCTGTGGCTTTTTTTTAAAGACTTTTGAATGTTTGAATAATTTTTGTAAATCATCCTCTTTGCACAGAGTACCACGTATTTAATAAGCCTGATGTAAATTTACAATGACAGAAAAGTGTATTTTAAGAAAACGACCTTATTTTGAAGGGTCCTCTGTGGAAAGAGGTGGAGAGTAGATCTATGCTATGTACATCACTTGCAAATCACCAAAAACACTCCATTGCTGCCCAGAACGGCTCGTGGAGCCCTCGGTCTTCGGTCCGCTGGGGGTCGCTGCGGCTCAGAGCCCGTCTTGTCCCCGATCTGTTTGTCATCTAGCTCCCTTCAGAATCTCCTCCCATCCATCTCCCAGTGACACCATTTTTCTTTTCTAGGTGTGCCGCCCTGTGATTTATTTATTGTAGAAAGTATTGATTTGCTTTATAATGAAAAATAAATTTGAAAAAGTCTATTGATATGCATTTTTATACAGGCACATGAGCGTTCAACTTGCTATGGGAGAAACTTGTATCACAGTTGTTGTCGAAAAGGACCCGGTGGCTTGTGTGTAATTGGGTTTTGTACCTTGTAACCTTTTGTTTACAACGAGGGGATTTCTGTAACGCGTTTTACTTTAGAACCCTTTGGTAGCAATAGAAACTTTGGATACCTTTTTGTATGGTACATGTGATGTATATAGAATTAGGACTTTATTTTTATTTTTAAGAAGTAAAGCATTATGTTAGGGCAAGAGGAGGGGGGGTTTCCAGAACTGCATTTTTTATATTAAAAAATAAAGTCAGGATTTCGATTGTCGTTGCCACTTTATTCTTACGTTCCCTGAAGCGCTGAGTCGCCAGCAGTGGGCGGATAGCTCTGATGTGGATCGCGGGCAGCGGTCACCGCGGAACTCTCCCGTGCCCTGCCGTAGGCCGGCTGTCGAGCCCGACGCCGCACTCGTCGGCGCCCAGCTGCCGATACAGGTTAGCAAATGAGGCAAAGCTCCTAGTCTTCATCTTCGAAAGTTTTAATGGGTCACATTGGTCATTGTTTAATCTCGGATTTTTATTTTAAAGGGTCGTTCAGTTACTTTGAAAAAAATAGCTTTTGATGTTTCTTTTTTAAATTCTCCATTGTTTGTAAAAACCCCTTAGAAGCTTTGAAAATAAAAAAAAAAACAATTCTTTACTCCTCCTTGTCTTCCCTTTGGCAGACGTCTTGCCTCCCAAACAGCTGCCAGGTGGGGTCAATTCATGCTCCCCGCCTTCTCCCGCTGCTGGGTGTGGGTGGGTTGTGCCGGCTGTGACCGCTCAGTTCTTCGGGGTCAGCGTCCTCTGTGCTGGGCACTGGGGGGTGAGGAGGTGGAGAGCACGGGCACCCCCCCAGAAGGGAGCATCCGAGCTGAGGCCTAACGGGCAGGCAGGTGACGAGGCGATCACCAGGAGCCATGGAGGGGCCGTGGGGTGGTTTGGAGCCAGCCCGGAGAGCTTGCAGTGTTGGGCTGACCTGGTGGTATTTTATCCTACAGCACTAGGATAGGGCTGGTGTGTGAGCGGGAGGGTGACCTGGTGAGATCCGCATCCTGGAAATATTTGTTTGGTATTGGTGCCATGGGTGTATTACCGGATAGTGGAGAGAGACTCAAAGCAGGGGTGTCGTTAGGGAAGGGGAAAGGAGCAATAATTTATTAAGCCCCTACCGTGTGCCAGGCGTTGTGCTGAGCAGTTCACAACGACTTTGGAGGATTGGTGCTGTTATCACCCCAAGGAAACAGAGGCAGCCAGGTTAAGTGGTTTGCCCAGGGTGTCATACAGTTGGAAGTGTTGAGGCTAGATTTGAACTTGGGTCTTCCTGAGTGAAGAAGCACTTATTAAGCGCCTACTGTATACCACCGGGCAGGACGAGTCCCTCCTTGGCGTCAGAGGAGCTCTCACTCTAACGGAAGCTTTGGATGTGGCCTCCCTGCCAAGGACAAGGCTTTCTTCTTTACTCTTTCGCTCCTGAGCCAGCTGCAGCTTAGGGGCCTTGCCTCATTATCATACCCATTTGAGAGGTGTTCAGTTGGTCTCCGGTGGTGAGCTGGGTCCTTGCCTCCTGTCACCCCCCAGTGCCTCTGCTTGCCGACGTGGCAGTCGTGGGAATTCGAGTCAGCTTTTCCATTGTTAAGTGACTTGCCCAGGGTCACAGGGCTAGAAAGTGTCAAGTGTCTGGTCTTAGACTGGACTTGAACTCGGGTCCTCCTGACTCCAAGGCCGGTGCTCTATCCACCGCGTCACCTAGCTGCCCCCACGAGTCAGCTTTTCCAATGGTTCCACTTTCACCTTGGCCAAATCAACCCTGCACTTGGGGACAAGGGTCCAGAACTGTCATTCTCTGTTGGTTATCAGAGGTGGATTAGAAGTGCTTTTGCCCTGAGTTCAAATCCAGGCTCAGACACTTAACACCTACTAGCTGTGTGACCTTGGGCAAGTCACTTAAGTCTGATCGCCTCACCAAAAAAGCAAAAAAAAAAAAACATGCTTTTGCCTGTGTCAAAGAAAAGATGGTGGAGGGTTTATTTCATGAGTGATAAGCACAGCAGTTGGCCTGTGACATCTCAACTTCTCGTCCATGCAGCTCCAGCAAACTAGCATTTTATTGGGGAGGGGGAGGGGAATTGGGGTTAAGTGACCTGCCCGGGGTCACACACAAATAAGCATTTATAAGGGCCTACTGTGTGTGGAGC